CGTCTTAGATTCTCAGTGTCATTTGTGTGTTTAAACAAGCTCACGGTCAATGCTGGTAGGACTAACATACAGGCAAATACAAACTGTGAAAGGATTAGAAAAACTAAGAGCATAATGAGGGGTGGGTTATTGGCAAAAAGAATGAAAGGGACAGAAAAAAATAAACAGCACCTTACACACAGGCACTCAAATAATTAATGAGTTAAAAAAATCGATAGCATGTAAAGTAAAAAAAAAGAAAGCCAAAAATATAGGGTTTGTATGATAGCAGGGAAGTATTCAGGCTCTTCTCAGGTTTGTGTGCATAACAGAGTTGGTACTGTAAATATGAGATGTCTTTTCCCCCCTATTACTTACTGAGATCTTAGAACTCGAGGCTCACAAATTGCCAAGGGATAATCCAATGTGAAAGAAAATTGCAAATTATTTACTTTATCTTTGTATACCTAGTGTATGGTAGATAACCAGTAAATGTTGGTTGAACAGTGGATACATGCATGCATAAATATCAAATCGAAGGTTACCCAGGATATCCAAACTCCTTGGAAATAGTTATTAAATTAATAGAAAAATGGGAATATCACTTGTTTAAGAAATTAGACCTGGTTATGGATACTCTGTCTTAAGGATAGAAATTATCATTGAAGCCATGGGAGTAGCAAAATTTACTGAAATACCAGATCGAGGGAGACTAGAAGAAGACTGAAGATTACCCTTCAGAATCCTGTTGGTTAGGAGAAATGTATCAGCTGGGACACAAAGGGTTGCGAGTAGCAGAAAATCCAATCTAAACTGGTTTAAACAGTGTCACATAGGTGGAAAGCTCCAGACCAGTGTTGCTCTTAGGCATGGCTGAGTCCATTAGGTTTCTTCCTTCTGTATGACACAGCTTCAGCCTCAGCCTTTACATAGTGGGCACCAGCAGTTCCAGGGCCTTCATTTTCCTAACTTCAAGACCAGGAAGCAAGAGAAAGTGTCACTTTTCCAAAAGTATTATTATATCTCATTGGTTTTCACTGGATCTCACGCTCATCCCTCAACCAAATCAAACTCCAGAGAATATCAAACACAAAGTTTTATAAAGTGTGGCAAGTTCCCTTTCCTGCTAGACTACTTCCTGGAACACTGGTCATTGGATTCTGCTGTCACTGAAATGCAGCTATAGCTGTGTCAGTTCCTACTTCACTTGCAAGGTTTCTATATTTCTGGCACATTGTTCCTCTCCTGTCATCTCAGCGTTCACCCGAGTCTGGCCCACTGTCTTTCTTCTTCTTGTTCCAGACTCCCAAATATTTGCCTGACCTTTGGCTTTCTAATTCTGTGTCATTATCCTGAGGTTTCAGCCCCTACCTTTATCTTTACTCTCTTGAGAATTCTGGCTATCCCATTCCTTGTGCCCAAGCAAGAAAGAGTAGGATTTGTGTCATAGTAGGGAAGTGTTTACATATTTAACAGTGTATACAGTGACATGAAAGCTGTCAACATTTCTATAATTTTTTTTGTAATAATTCAAGTCTAGAATTTTTTTATTCTCTCCTTACCTCAGTCAATAAATACTTATAATTATTTAACTCGGGGGTTAAAAAGAGCCTTTCATCAACTCAAGTTCTTTTTTAAGAAGAGATATATAGCTTTCTGTATATATAAGGTATAATTATACAAATTTAGACATTTCAGTACTAGTATTTTTTTTAGATAAAACCTGAGAAATTAATTTAGTACAGTATCAGTATTTTGAAGTAGTTCCTGCATAGTAGAAATATCTAGTAAGATCCAAATTCTGTATGCATTTATCTCTAAAATTATATGTAGAGATATTATATGATATGTTCACAAATATTCTTGCATAAATGAAAACCACTATAGAGAAAGGTAATCTCATTCATCTGTATGCTCCAGGTAACTACAGAATCAAGCCCATTCTTGTGGCCAGGAAGTAAAGAAGTTCTGAAAAATGATGGGGATATAGTACAAGGGCATAGGACCCAACTTAAAGGGACTCCCAATGGCCAAAGCTGGTTCAATTTAAGCAAGAAAGTAAACAATAATAGTATTATAGCCCGCAAAATAAAATGAATTTTTATGAGTCCATACCAATATAAATAAATAATTGAACTAGTAAATGGGATAGAAGGGACGGCTCTAGTGTATGCGCTGCCGAAGAGAGCACTAGAAGGGACAGCTCTAAATAGGGGGACCCAGAAACCACCGTTATCACACGCTGCAGGAAATCTTTGCAGGTGAGAACCATTGGTGAATGCTCATAGGAGTGGGTGAAAGTTCGATGAAAAAGAGCATATTTGCATGATCTCCAGGTATCTCCCTACAAGGTTATTTATTATTTAAAATGAGAAAAATGGTCATTTTACCGTAGGAAAATCAGGCAGACACCGCTTTAGCCATGTGATCAGAGACCATATTACAAGTAATAAAACATCAGTATCGCATACCCCAATGTGATGCACTAAGAGTATCACTTATATGATATTCTTGCCAAAAATGCACAACCTATTCTAATCATAAGAAAACGTCAGATAAACCCAAATTGACAGATACTCTGCAAAATAATTGTCCTGCACTATTCAAGTGTCAAGGTCATGGAAGACAAAGCTGGAGGATCTGTCACAGATTAAAGAAAACTATAAGGAAACTTGACAACTAAATTCAGTGGAGATCGTAGGTTGAATCCTAGACCAGAAAAAGGAAATTAATAGGAAAACATGGCAAAATTTCAGTAAGATCTGTAAATCAATTGTATCATATCAATGTGGATTTCCTGATTTCAGTATGTATACTATAGTTACATAGTTGGGTGAAGAGTATACGGGAACTTTGTACAGTATGTTTTTGCAACTATTATATAGGTCTGAAATTATTTCAGAGTTATTTCAAAATAGAAAATTTTTTGTGTTTTTTTAAAGGAAGGGGACTTGGAGTAAATGATTTCTAAGATGTCTTCCATCCTACCTTATTATGTAACAGTGATACAGAATGAAGAATATCAAAGATTTAAATACTTCCTGTCTGCCAATTAAGAAACATGTTGAGGCAGCTGAAAATAGAATCAGATTCTAAATTGCCAGTTCAGTTCAGTGGAACATGTCCTGAATAGAACATGTCCTGTTGTACCCAGTATTGCACTGAATAAGATGGTCCTTGCCTCCAGCATGGTCATCCTATTCATACTAGAGCTCGAAGATGATGTGGTCTTCCCTTTCAATCACTTATATTACGGAGGCGTCTCTTCCTTGATGTTTTAAAATGCACTAATGGAGTTGGAGAGAATAAGATAGAAATTGGTAAGTCTTGGAAATGTATCCAAAGAAATAAAAGCCCTCAAAGAGGGCCCAAGATTTTTCAATCTGTGTGCCTGAAGAGATCATGATAACCATTAAATAAGATAAACAACTGAGGAGGCCTTTGGTATTAAAGCACTTTGTGTACGAGGGACCAAACAGGACATTCACATTAAGTTTACCACAGGATAATTAGGTATGTTGGTGTAGGGCAGTACAAGGATACGTGTGTTTGAGAATGAAGGGTAATGTAATCCTGACATTCCCTTAATGCTTGTTTTCTAGATCGTTGTACTGAATTAAGCCTAAACTTTTATAATCCCATTTTGGCAAATTTCTGGATGATGAATTGATGTGTTTCACTTAGCAGGTATTTACTGTTGAGAAGTTTTAAATACTTCAGAAAATATAATGCAGTTAAGTCAGGAAGTTATGACAAGTTATAAACAACATTAATAAAGATGGTTTTTGATTTTTAGGTATTTTGGGCGTTCATTTCTATTTTTTTATTTTTGGCTCTATTTTTTTTCTTTAAGTGGAATGGAACTTTGAATCAAGATAATTAAGATAATTATGTAAATGAAATGGAAGTTTCAGTGCCGCATATAGTTGATGAAAAAATTTAAGAAATTTATTTTCACCATGATAATTTTTTAACAGAAGTCTAAGCTCTAACACTTTTGTGGATGTGATGCCTTCTGTGGAGGATTAGAGGTTTTATATCTTATTTCTGCAGAAGGAACATAAGACATACATGAAGTTTTCAAGTCTCTACAGAATTGAAAAGTCAATGTGGGTACTGTACTTTGAAACATGTGGATACTGTGGGCCTAAGGTGTTTTTTAATCTTTCATCTTTTTTTAGGATCAAATATCATTAGAAAAATAAGCCATGGGCATTACAAACGTGGTCTGGTGAAATTCAATATTCACAATGACAATTTAGAATATGAGCTCCTTGGGAGGAAAGTTAACTCACCACTCTAACTTTGCATCTAAATATCTTAAAGTGTGCCGTTGGTTTTATGAAAAGGTTTTGATCTACACTCCTAGTTTAAGTTCAAAGGAAAACCTACATTTTAAAGTGTATTCCTTTTCTGGGTATATTTACTTTGAACTATAGCATATAGTTTCTCTCATAAATCTAACCTGCCACTATCTGTTTTTAAGACTTTGTAAACTTAAAGTGGTTATGATGTGTGAAGTTTGGATTAAACTAAAATTTTTAGAAAACACATGTTATATATTTTGATTGTTTTGAATTTTAACATGGGCCAGTCAAGCACTTGAGTGTCTAGCAAACTAATATACTGTACTCTGTTACTGTAGGAAATCACAGAAAATTCCCCTTTCCCATCTTGTTAACGATAGACAAATGAAGCAGCTGTTCTTATTCTTAATGTAGTTGTTTGAAAAACTTGCACAATTTAATGAAAACATCTCTACTCATAAAACTTAAAATGCTCACACATGGAAAAAGTCATAATGTTTTGGCAAATATTACTTCGTTAGGAATGTGAATGAGGTATACCTGCTTAATAACTAGAATTCTATATAAATGGCATGAAGCTGTGGTGGAAAGCCAGCTGAAAAAGAAGACTCTGACAAGGGGTGAATTAACACTCTTTAAAAATACAGGTAGTTCTTACCCACACATATTTTGACAAGGAAGAATTATATACCTTCTCCATTTCTTTTTTTTCAGGCATAATTCTTGGGTCATCATTTCTACTCAGCATTAATGATTTCATCCTTAAAACAAGTCTCAAAGAAAGAAGTCGGATTCTGATAGGACCATGTTGTGCTACTGCCAATCTGGAAGCTAAATGGTGTAAACACAGTGGCAATCCAGGCCCAGAACAGTCCATACCAAAAATATCTATTGATTTAAGAGGAGGTCTGCTACAGGTCTGTGGGTATTGGTCATATTTTTCCCATACGTTTTTAATTGGCCTTTGTTCATTTTTCAACTGTTTCACTAAATTTTAAATATTTGTGTGGTGAAAAAAGGGGTATTGTCACATTGCTACCTTATTAAATTTTTAACAGCTTTATTGAGATATAATTCACATATCATACGATTCATACAATTAAACTATATGATACAGTGGTTTTTTAGTATATTCACAGAGTTGTGCAATCATAACCACAATTAATTTTAGAACATTTTCATTACTACCCCTAAAAAACCCCATGCCCATTAGCAGTCATTCTCCATTACTCTCTAACCCTCTTTCCAGGCCTAGGAAACCACTAATATACTTTCTGCCTCTTCAGATTTGCCTATTCTGGACATTTCATATAAATGTTATCATATAATATGTGGTCTTTGTGACTGACTTCTTCAACTTAGCATAATGCTTTCAAGGTTCTTCCCTGTTTTAGCAGATGTCAGTATTTTAATCCTTTTTATGACAAGGTATTCCATTATATGGATATATATCACATTTTATTTATCCTTTCATCAGTTGGTGGACATTTGGGTCCTTTCTACTTTTGGGTATTATGTATAATGCCACCATGAAGATTTGTGTACAGGTTTTTTTGTGTGGACATATATTTTAATTTCTGTAGGGTGTATAACTAGGAGTAGAATTGCTGGATCAAACTTTTTTTTTTTAATAATGGTTGACTTTTCTAATTATAAAGTAGTCAACCTGTCTTAAGCATGGAGTCACTGGCAATATATAAGAACCATCTCCTAATAGCAGTTTCTTACATATTATGATGTCTGGTTACCAACATTTGATATATAAGTCACTTTGCAACCTTTTATGTATTTGTCTTACAGCCAAATATGGAATGTGTGAGGCTATCCAACTTATTTCTCGATAATCTTTTATTTGGATAGATTTTAATCTAATCTTTATGTGATTTGATACACCCCCAAACTTGGAACAAATCCAAAAAGCTCAAGAGATTCACAGTGATAGAAAATTGTAGTGACTAATTTGTCAATAATGGAGACATACTAAACATAAATTTCTTATTTTTGTTGTATTGCCTCAACTTTTCACTAGTTTTTTTAATGACACAGCAAGATTTGGAGAGATCCTAATAACTTATTTTTTGTGTGTGTTGCTTTGAAGATTTTTAGCGTCTATGGGAAATCTTCACATACTTAGCAATAAGTATGTGGTTTTATTCTACTTTATTGAGAATATTGATTATATCACCTTTTTCCTAAGGCAACAAAGCAACTTCACGTTAAGAACAATATGAACAAAACCAAAATACAGTATATCATCTCTAGATTATAGTCACTGACTATCTTTTGACAATTTAAAGTGTAGAGCACAATGTTCTACTCCCCAGCTTGACTTTTCACCTTTCTCTATTTTTCAGCATCAAATAAAAATAAGATTGATGAGAACAAAAGTAGACCTAGTGTTATATATCTTACTTTCATTTATGAGATGCCTTAATTACAGAGAGCAGAACCTAAGTCTAGGATTTAAAAGCTATCCAGGAGGTCTAGGGCTATACTTTTCTACTACTGTGTATTCTTTTGTCTTTTCTGTGTTTCCTGATTTTCTTAGAATTTATAGTTATATTGCCTTTACCCAATATAGATAGAGAAATTACTGAAATTTTTAATCCCCAGACATTAATTATTATAATCTACTGGTCATAATTCTATTGTAGATTAATATTATTCACATGCAGAAATAGAAAACTTAATCTTCTCCATTAGAGAAAACACCAAGTCCTTTTGTTCTGAAACTCTACTGTAGCTCCTAGAAGTACAGTTGATTCTCAGGGGCTATGGAATCCTGTATGTTGGTGCATTCTCACTAAACACAGAAGTTGGGAGCCCTGTAAGTTCGGGTTCATTGAGCAGATTCCCTCTCTTTTTCTCTGAAGAATAAAAGTGCAAAAAAAGGAACTCTATAATAAGGATTGTTTATGTAATCTTATGACAAAATGTAGGAAGCTATTTCATAAAGTTATTATTTTATTAAAATTTTAGCCTAGGTGATCTTTATTGCCTTCTCTCAGACCCTAATAGGTGTTCTTTTCCCTCTTAGCTAAATTAATTCATAAATATTACTTCATGTGAACATAATTACATTAATCTAGCATTTACAATTTATTGTTATTCACATAATATATGATGTAGTTTATTTTCTTATTGTTATATGTTTACTCAAGTAATACAATTTCATCCTATAGGTCAATTACTTCTTAGAAATTATAATTTGTTATTGGTAATTAAATTGAGCATAATTATAGACTTATTAATTCAAATATGATTATACATAATTATTCTCAAGAAATGTTTGTATTTAAAAGCCACTAGAATTTTTCATATGATTTTAAAGGTCTTCTGGGGTCAAGAACATTTGAATTGTTTAGTTCTTCTACATGAATTACTCAATGGATACCTTTATGAGGAGGGAAATTTTGAAATGCAAGTTTCTGAACCAGTACCTCAAATGCCATCTCCTATGGAAAAGAATCAGACATTTAAAAGCGAACAAAGTTCAGATGACTTACGGACAGGTCAATTTCAGTATATACAAGATGCTGGTAAGTAGCAACAGCTTCAGTATGAGAATATATGAGTGTGGTGTGTTTTAAATGCACATTGACTAAATAAAAACAAATCAAGAACACTTGGAAAGTGCATTAATACTTGTAGAACAAAAATAGCTCATTACCATTCAGTCTCTATTGGGGGAAATTCTTAATTTCTTTCTGTCTCAAACCACATAAAAATGATCAACTAGCTTCTTTATATTCTTTTATTTTCATAGTTTTTTCTTGCTTTAATAAACCATGTTCCCCTTTAAAGCCATATAATTAATTATATTTTTATTTGATAGAATCTTTGAAACTGCCTGGTGTCTATGAAGTCTTGTTTTATAATGAAACTGAAGATAGCCCAGGGATGATGTTATGGAGATATCCAGAACCTAGAGTGCTCACCCTTGTACGAATAACTCCTGTGCCTTTCAACACCACGGAGGATCCAGATATTAGCACAGCAGACCTTGGTGATGTGCTACAGGTATGTAATGACTATTCATTTTAAAATAAAAACATTGTAGAAAAGTGCTGATCATATATTAGGAAAAATGTTTGGAGCATGCTTGTTTTCTACGTTAGTAGTATCAGAGAAATACATACGTGTGTGTGTATGTATGTATATATACACAGATAGAAATTTTTAAATAAGGGAATAACGTAATTCAGATTCATGATTTGTGGCAATTTTAAGAGTTCCCAATTCTACTCATTCTGTTGTGGGTAGGTTACATGGTCTCTAAATACAGTGGGACAAGTAGGTATCATTCAGTTCACCACACCTTTACTGAGTGCCTACCATGTGTCCACACTCTTCAGAGTTTCTAAGAACTGCTCTGTGAAATAAAATATGCCCATATAAGGCCAGAACTGGATGACTATAATTTTCATTTTCAGAACTGAAATTGACCTTGGGGGTTGAGGTAGACTGGTTTTCTATGTAACTAATGTTCATATTCCACATGGTTTGGGGAAAGTTTGTTGCTTACCATTTCCTTGAGTTTAATGTAAATGTCATTGTGGCTATCACTATGTTATTATTGTACCTATTAATATTCTACTGATCTGAATTTCTCCTAAAATCCATTTCTCCCTTAGTCTTCACCTATTACTAGATTACACAACCACCCACTCAAAACCTAGGAGTCATTCCTGATTGCTTTTTCCCTAACTCCCTACCTCTAACCCATCAACAAGTCCTGTCAGTTTTACCTCCAAAATATGTCCCTGTTCCATCTACTTCTCTCTGTTTCTACTGGTACAACTTGAATCTAAGCCACCATCATCTGTTCCCTACTACGATAGCTTCTTGATTGGTCTCTATGTTTCCATCCTTGATTACGTGTAATGCATTCTCCAAACAGCAGCTAAAGTGATGTTCTTAAAATGTAGGTCATATTATATCACTTCCCTAACCTAAAACCCTGTGGTGACTTCCTCTAATGCTTAGAACAAAACTCAAATCTCTTACTGTGAACTACAGGGACCTGTGGTCTGGGATCTGCCCCCCTCTGGTTGAAATTCCTGTCAGTCTCCCCCTTTCTCACACTGCTCCAGCCATGCTAGACTCCTTTTCTTCCTTGAGCACACCACCCCAGTCATTTCTCTTGCTCTTCTCTCACCTTGGAACATCACCACTCCCTGTCTTCATCTACCAAGAACCAGCTCAAATGTCATCCTGGCTAGCCCACTACCATTACTCCATTACTTCATTCTGTATTACATTATGTTGGTTTACTGTCTTCATAGCTCGTATTGCTATTCACAATTATCTTATGTATTTATGTGTTTACTTTCTTATTGTCTTTTTCTCTCTATTGTTAGAAAATAAGCTCCTTGTCGTATGTCTCAGTCACATGTTTCAAGTCCCTAGTACATAGAAGACATTCACCAAATTTTTTTAATGAGTGCTCTGTTCTTACCAAATTAGAGTAGTAATGCAAGTCATAGTCCAAGATACATATCAATATAGGCATTATTGTAGTCTTATTTAATTGTTATTTAAATTCCTGGTTATTATGTATTTAGTCAGATGTTCATTTTATGACTTGGTTGGTAACAATGAAACACAATCATTTTGTCAAGTGAACTAGAGTGTGTAGAATGATCCACATTACCAAGATGTCAGCAGTCTCCACAATGATTCTTAGATCCTCAGATTTTTTTTCTCTTCCTATCAAGGTCATATTCATGATTATGTTCTCTACTAGTATTCTTGGATTATTTATGCTAAACAGCGATATCTGTGAACTATACTTTCTTTTTAGACTTGCCTAAATGCAGAATATCTGTAGATTTTTGATCAAAATGAAAATACTCATATATTAAAGTTTCAGCATCATGTAAGGGCTTCTTCCCAACTGATTTTTGGGATCAGTCTTATAGGTAAATATTAATACATTTATTAACATAAGTCTAATAACTAATTATTAGTGGTATTCTTATGTGAACTGTATTAAATAGGGCATCTGAGGTAGTAAGTACATCCACTAATAGCATGTTCTCTATATTCTCACTGCTGTTAGAGGGACAGGAAAGCATAGTGATTAAGAGGATGAACTATAGCCAAAATGCTTGAGTTCAGAGTCTTGCTCTGCCATTGCAAACAGTGTTGCATTAGACAAGTAATTTAACCTCTGAGCCTAGGGTTTTTTGTTTTGCTTTTTTTCCTAATCAAAAAATGAGGCTGCTAATAATGTGATGATTATAAGAATTAATGTTTGTAAAACACATAGAAGAGTGCTGGGCACATAGCAAGAGTTTTGTAGATATGGGTATTGCCACTATTACAGGTTGAGCATTCTAATACAAAAATGTGAAATCTGAAATACTCCAAAATCCAAAACTTTCTGAGTGCCAATGTGACGCCCAAAGGAAATGCTCATCAGAGCAGTGCAGATTTTGGATTTTTTTGATTAGGGATGCTCAACTGGTATGCGTATGCAAATGTTCCAGAATCTGAAAAAATCCCAAATCCAAAACACTTCTGGTTCAAAGCATTTTGGCTAAGGAATACTCAACCTGTACAATGACGGTTATTGTCAAAACTCTTTTCATCAGGCATAAACACAGGCTAGACCAAGGAGAGCCAGAGTCTGACAGATGACTCTGCAGACCAGTTGGAGTAGTCCAGGAGATCTGAGACAGACCAAGGGACCCAGACAGTGGGCTTGGCACATAAGCAAAACACTGCGTAAAGGAAGCCTGGAAAGTTTCAGCCAGAAAAGAGTTGGTATCAAAAAAGTCTTGCCATGTTTTATATTTTGTTAAAGAAGTAAGGAACCTAAATGTAGACAAAGTTCAAAGACAGGGATGCAGGCCTAGGGAGCACGACAAGCTTGCATTTACTGGAAGTTCAAAGGGAGAGCTGGATCCTAGTGGTGAGAAGGGATGCTCGAAATCTACAAGTTGGGTGGTGGAACAGAGCAGGACTGGCAGCAAGGCTGACGGCGGCCATGCTGCTGAGCTCTTAGGTCAATCCTTATATTCTCCTGACTAGGAGCAGAATTTATCCCAGGGCTTGGGGTAGGTCTTATCTGTGGAAACAACACTCTGAATTGTGATCTTATGACCATGCAAATTATCTTGTTTCCTTGGAGCTTCTGTTAAGAACAGAAAACACAGTGTGAATCGTAATTTCGATTCAATACAATAGCTTTTTCCTCGAGCACCTATGGTACCAGACCTTGGACCTGCTCCTAGGGATCCAGATAAGGTACTTCCCACTCATTAAAAGCTCAGTCTAGTGGGGATGTTTCTATGGTTGTTTAGGGTAGAAGAGTCTCCCTAATTTTGGTTTTCAAGGAGGACCTGTCTATTGTCAGAATTGTTCTCCTACTATATGTGATTATCACTAATTCTATGTTAGAGGCACAGCTAAAATATTGTACAGCTGATCTTGAATTGCAGGGAGCTTATAAAAGGAAGGCCCTTTATCAACCTGGTATAATGCAAGTAATATGGACTTTGAAGTCTCAATTCTTGGCCCTTTTTTAACTAACTCAGTGACCTTAGGCAAACTACTGATCTCTTGGAGCTTCAATTTCCTCAACTGAACGTTGGAGTTAATACATGTTATTTACCTCTCACTGTTGTTGTGGGATATTGTGTCAAATGGGATATTACAAGTAATACACTTAAATGAATGCTTTACACATAATGAGCTCTTAATAAATATTTATTTCCTTCCCTCCACTCCTCCACACACAAATGCCTGGACCACTAAAAGTGACTTCCAAATGGAATTCCAGCCTTCAATCTCTCTTTCTTCCAACCAATCCTACTAAGTTCTTAAATGAACAGGTAGACTGAATAATTCCCTGAAGGAAACCTTCAGTAGCTCAATCACCCTGCTAAACTAACCTTGAGAGCCCTGTGTAACCTTCCCGCTCCCCAGCTTTGCTTTGCAGTCCCTTAGACATGATCTGTGCCCTAGTCAAACTGGCCTATTTGGCATTCCCCAAACCAGCATGTAACGTCCCACTTCTTCTTCGTTTGAATCCCTCCCATCTATACCAATTGAAGTCCTACCCACACTTCCAGAACAGCTACAATGCCATATATTCCATGAAGCTTTTCCTGGAAACTATGTTCAAATATCACCCTCCCCTGACATCCTATAGAACTTCATGATACCACTTTTATGCTATTTTTTACCTTAATCCTCATATTTGAACTTATGTGTCCATATCTTGTCTCCCTCCTAGATTGTATGTTTCTAAAGGAGGGATCATATCTAATTCATTATTATGTCCCTTACGGTATCCTTTGCAGTAGAGATGCTCAATAAATGTATTGAATGGATGAATCAATACATAAATATCCATGTTCCTATTTCATATTATTCAAAAATATTACATTATTTATCACTATTTTATGGGGCTAATGAATGTGTTTTGGTTTTCCACCCTGAACTATATATCAGATGCATTGTGTTATTCTTCAGTGGTATCATCTGCTTTAAACACACTATGTCATGTCATTACATTACTCAGGCTCTTGGTGAGGTCATTGAATATTGTGCCAAGCCCGGTTGCCCCTTAAACAGAGGCTAGTTCTTAAATACACAAATAGATTAATCTCCTTGGCTTTAATCCTAAAAACAGAATTAAAGTTTGTATGACTTTCTCCTTCAGGACCATTTAGTTCATAAGAAAAATTGACCTTATAGAGTTGAGTTTAATACAGAACCCTCAAATTTGTCTGTTTATAAGAATGTATTTTACAATTGTAATAATTAAAAATGTACAAAATATGTCCATAATATTAAATCAAACTATAGATTCTGAATAAAATATTGTGGTTAGTTTATAATTTTATCATGTTAAATTTTAAGTGTTAATAGTATATTTACATGTCAATAAAATCAGCATCTAATTTGGTAATTAGCATCTAAATGATAAAGTAATGTCACCAACCTAGAAGGAGTCTTGTTCAGTTTAAGTGAGTCTAGATATAAGAAATTTCTGGCGCAGTTTATGGCAC